GTCACTATCAGCAGCCTTGACCATTCTAACAAACCCGGCCTACATAAAAGCTCACGTGCTAAGTTGACGTAACTCTAAGTGGTACCCTCCAGCCCAGACTGCCTCAGCTGCTCTACAGCTAGACACACTGCAAGCCACATGCAGACACGGACGGACCTCTGTATCAATTTCCTAAACAGTATCTGTAAAATTAGATGTCTGAAAATTCTGACTTCTCAAAGAAGTAGGAACAACAAATAAATATACAGACAAATGTTCAATATCACTGGTTACTCAAGAGACGCTAATCAAGACAATGTGAGATTCCATCTCATCCCCAGAAAGAATGGCTAACATCAAGAAATCAACCAATAACAAATGCTGGAGAGGAAGTGGAGAAAAAAGAGCCCTTCTTAGCTGTGGCAGGAGTGTAGGCTGGTACAATCACTATGGAAATTGGTGTGGAGATTCCTCAAAAAACTAGGATTAGGGATCCCATTAGACCCAGCTATTCCTCTACTAGGTATCTTCCTGGAAGAATTAAAAATATCCTACCACAACAATATATGCACACTCATGTTTATAACAACACGGTTTCTAATAGGTAAATCTTAGAAACCACCAAAATGTCCATCAACTGAGGAATGGATGAAGAAGATGTAGGGTTCTTAATGGAGTACTGCTCAGCCATAAAGAAGGATAAACTCGATATACCGCTAGATAAATATATGCACCTTGATATATACTCTTAAGCCAAATAAATCAGACTCACATGGGTCACTATCACATTCTTTCTCTGGTATGAGGTATTAAATGTGTAAATAAGGAGCGAAGTGTATAAAAGGCATTGTGAAACACGAAGAAATTATTCAAAAGAAAGGGGAAAAGGGAGGACAAAGAAGAAAAAGCAAAGAACCCATAATCTTAAATGAAATACATCAGATACACATGTTTAAATATCACACTGTTTCTCTAGTTGGAGAAACTGAAAGTGTAAATAAGGACCAAAATGTATAATAGATACTAAGAAATATGAAGAAAATTTTCAAGTGGGGAGGGGAAGAAGAGATGGACGGGGGAAAGAGAAGAAAGGGAAAAAAGAATAGAAGAAAGGAACTGGAAAAAAGCGTCTATATATAAGGGGAAGAGGGGTTGAAGGGAGGAGAGGGGCTCAAGAAAAAAAGAAACAAGAAATATGTACAGGTACAAACTTCCTCTAATGAATGTGATCATTATGTATATTTTAAATGTACTCATAAAATTTTTTTGACCTTTCAAGGAAACCTGCAAGAGCAGGTTACAGTAACTTCAAAAGAGGGCTCCTCCACCCTGGCCTGCCTCAGCCTGCTTAAAGACTAGACACTCCCAAGCCACGCACAGCATCTGTACAATCAGATGCCTGAAAATTCTGAGCTGTCAAGGAAACCCCTAAGAGCACATGTTGTAATATTTAGGATAGATATTCACTGATTTCCTGCACTACTAAGTAAGAAACTGTAATACCAAAAGGAAACAGCAGTCCACATTCCTTGTCCAAAGAGGAAAATTCACTTTTTCTGGGGATCCCTCTAGACAGAAAACAAGTTTGCCAAGCTAAATTGGCAAAGTTGCTTTGTTTTCTGCACTATATGGACAAACTTAACACTTGGCAATACCGGAGCATGGCTGGGAGCCAGGGAGAGCCCCACAGTAATGACAAGCTCTGTGGATTAATTCCTGAACCAAACACCTACTGCTCTCAGGGGTACCACATTTTGCTAGAGAAGCTTGTTTCCTTTGATCCAACAGCTATAACTTTTAGTGTTTTTACAGAAGGATTCAAGATTCTCAAGCCAAAGCTACTTTTCATTCGGCTTCCAAAATATTTACAAAATGAAACGCTTTCCATCTTAACTGGTTTATTTGTAAATACCTTATTTATTCTGAGAATAGCAACAAAACTAAAAGCAGTCCTTTAAACAAGGACCTTAGATAAAACCATGCACAGACACATATTTATAAGACCCACACCTGTCCACAAAGCACAAAAGCCAAGGCTCAAAGGATTCAAATTCCTCTGCACCTATTCAGGAAGTCCCAGAAGTATGCACTGCACAAGGATGTGACCTACCAGTCCCTTCAATATCACACCTCCACACTAATTTACACGACTGAAAAACGCAAGCTTTGACTCCTGGATGACAACAACGTTACATAAATTGGACAAATATTCTTCTGCCCTATCAGCCTGCCTGGGAAACTCTAGCCCAGATGAGAGGACTCTTGTCTCCCAGCTTCTCTGGGTGCCCCTGGTGGCCTGGAAAAGTGGCTAGGGATCTTAGCCTCTGGCTCTCTCCCTATTCTCCTGTAAGACACCTCATGGGAAGTTTATATGAGCTTAGGAAAGTAAAACTGGTAGAAATCTAGAAATTTGGGAGTAATACACTACAACCAGTTTAAAAAAACAACAACAACAAACTTATATGAGTGTATTCCAAAAGCAAATAATTGCAAGATACATGTCTCTTTCAGATATAAAGAAGGCTTTTTATGCCAGAGTTTTCACTTATGGTAAAATGAAATTTTGACCAAAAACTAAGAGGAATGTGAAAAGTGGATGAAAGAACTGTCTGAGAAAGAATACTGAATTCAGATCTCTAATCACAGTTCTAATACTTAATATTCAACAAACAATTATTAAACATCTACAAACAGGCAAACACTGCTCTAAATGCTGGGAAGACAGAAAAGACTAAGATCCTGCCCTCAAAGAGCCTATATTCTAGTAAAGGAGACAAATCAATAAATCAATGAAGATTTTCCTTGAAGAGCTAAGACAAAATAGTATTTCTCATCTCTCCAGAGTGTGCAACCATCTACTTAAAGACAGCCCTGGCGCAGAGCACCCCCAAGTATTTACCTGGACTGGAACACAGGCACACAGATACACACCTGCAACTTCTGTGATGATGTACTTTGTATCAAATCCAAGTGAGAGAGACACAAAATCTCTGTATAACTTAACTACACTTAATGTAATTAGGTTACAAACAACTGCATTCACCAAGAATCTATAAAAAGGCAAAACCTAAATAATTACTGCCAAGGCTAAAAGTATAATTAGAAGCCCAGAGACTGGAATAGTAGTAATAGCAGTATAAATCATAATATAGCCGCCCTGCCCACTTTAAAGCACTGCCATAAAGAACCAGGCTATTTTATCATGCAAGTAAGGTTTGAAGATACTAACCCAATATAAAAAGCTGTGTTTAAAACCTCACCTTCAGATCCCTGACAATGGAGTGGGTGTCTCCTTTGAACCACAAGATTTTATGTCTAGACTCAACTTTAGGAACCCTGTACTGTATTCCTCTCCTCATATTACCAGTGAGCCACAGGTCCCCAGAGTAAAGGGGTAACCCCAGACAGGGCACGCATTAAGGCCAGAGCAGGAGCTAGGGTTCCTACTTTCTAGCCTGCTCCTCACGCTATGACCTGCATCCTCTAGGCTAGTGTTCACATATCACCAGAACCACAAGGCAGGACAATGCCTTTCAAAATTCACTTAATTGTCCCCCAATTACTTCCAGTCAACTGCACCTCTGGAACTGCAAACTGGAATCCTTATTGGTGGCCAATGGGCTCTCTTAAAGAACAGGGACGAGCTCTTTTCTGAAGAAATACTGTCTGGCTACAGAAATGATGCAGCTAGTCTGAAAGGAGAAAGCAATCTCTTCAGTGGTAACTTGGGGGGGTGTGCATCAAACGACTAGTTTTAGGGAAGGATAATGGTAGAAAAATGCAGTATAGACACGTAGTAAGGAAAAGTCTCCTAGAACAAGATCCAAGCAAGCCATTTACTAGGGAAAAAGAAGGGCGGCGGGGCTGTGAACCCGCGGAGCAGCAGGGAGCAGAGGGGCCCGGGGCCCAGGGCTTGACCACACCCACCGGCCACGCCCTCCCAGCTGCCCGCAGCTCCAAGCCGACTGAACTGCAGGGCCAGCAGTTAGGATTCCAAGGCCCGAGTCGCCATAGCAACGGGATTCGTCCAGCAGTCAAACTCGGCTTCAATTCACTAGATCCTGCTTGGATCTCAAGAAATTACCAGTTCAACGAGAGCTACACCGTTACGGGTGACATTTGCTCTTGATGCTCTCCGCGGAGTGGAGATAAGGAGTGAGGAATGCAGTGCAAAAATCTATTGATGAGCGCAATGAAAAATTGTATGGGGGTGAAAGACAGAACACCCCAAGCCTTGGCTATTAGCAACGTGAGGGGAGTCTTAGCAGAATTTGATGAATGAGTGAGTCAGCTGGAAAAGCGAAAGAAAATCCAGAAGACTTCAGGTCGCCTGGCCTGCCGCTCGTCTCCAATCCCAAAGCAAGCCGATCCCAAGGAGCTGGCTTTTGGCACCCGCTGGGTAAACCCGATTATCCACTCCTCCTTCCCCACAGAGAGCCCTATCCAGACATCATCCAACACCTCGCCCCCGGGCTCCAAGTCGCCAGCTGCGCCCCGGCCCAGGTGCTCCCGGCCCAGGGCGCGATTCCTGGGGGTTCCGGGGACCCCTCGCAGAGGACGAGGGCAGGGGCTCGGCGGCGCTGCCTGCCCTCGCTGTCGCCAACTCCTCTCGTCCCTCCGCAACGCCCCTTTTCGCTTTCCCTCGCTGGAACCCGGCAGCTCCGTGTCTGCCCGACTCCAGTCACCCCTCCAGTCACCCCTCGGGTCGTCCACGAAGCGGCGCGGAGCCGGCCCGAAGCGGGCAGGGGAGAAGGAGGGACCCGTCCTCGGGGACGCCCGCTCCGCGCCGGCTGCAGCCATTTTCCAAAACCGCTCGGCAGCCGCGCGTCTCGGTGTAGCTCCCACCCGACCCAAACCTGAAGGACGGGTTTAATATTTACTCGCGGGCCCGCAGCTCCGCGGAGGCAGCGGGAGGGCGCGCCGCGCATCGGCGCCCATCAGAAGGCGCACGCCCTCCCGCGCCCGAGCCGGCGGGGCCCCTCAAGGAACGCGCGCGGCGGGCGACACGAGCGTCCCCTCACCTGAGCAGTCCCAGCATGCTGGAAAGGCGGCTCTGCGCTCCGGGTACAATGGGATCCGGTTAAACAGTTTCCTCCACAGCAGCTCGTAGGTTACCAACTCGCAGGTGACATCACCCTCTCCTCTCCCGATAGGGTAGAATGTGGCGCGCACTGCGCATGGACTCCCCGTTGGGCCCGAAGGCTCCTGGGAGTTGTATGCGCGACTCGGCAGGCTGAGCGGAACGGCCTCGTGCCGCGGCTCCTGGGAACTACACTTCCCGATGCACCCCGCGGCCTCAAGGCCCAGCCCTGAACCCCGCCCCCGCCCCGCCTCCCGCCTCTCGGCCAGCAGTGGTTGAGTGGGACTGCTGGCCCGAGGGAGGCTCCCTGCGGTTGAGCCCTTTGACTTGACCTCCTTGGCTCTCGGGCGGCGAGGGCTCCTGCGCTACAGCCAGTCCTCTCTGACCCCTGCTGAGGCTCGCCGGGGCCCGGCTGGGGAGAGAAGTTTCAACGGCTCCCCGCCTTCCCCACATAGGGCAGCTGCTGCTTCCCGGGACCCCGGGGACTGGGGTAAACGGGGTCCTGATGTTGCCCGGGTCCCCAGGACCGGCGACCCGGCCGCGACCGGGAAGGGCCCCTCTCATCCTCACTCAGGTCAGCGCTCCTTCCTGTCGCTGCCCTTCTCCCTGTTTAATGGAGCCCGAGACCTAGCAGCGTGGCTGGCTGAGCTGACGGGCGCACCGAGCTGTCACCAGGCAAAGGCGAAGTGACAGACTCGGGGCATCGCCAGCGCCGGCTGCGCGGGGAGCCACTGTCCCCCGCCGGGCTTTTGTTCCTACCCACAGCTTCCCGCCCTGTGGCTCCCAACTGATAGCAGACAGCATGTTGGTCTAAAAGTTCTACTAAATTATGTATATATGCATACAAGTATTTTAAAATCTACACCTCCCTCATTTTCTATGCTTTCATCTTAAAAAGAAACAAAAAGTGTTTCAAGACCTTAAAGCCCTCAACAGTCTCCCTTCAAGAATTTTCCTGACAATACACGTGAATATTTGTTTTAAAGCCAAATATGTAGCAGAATTCTGACCCTTTGGACCGAGTTTGTTTTAATACATAAAAATGCTCTGTGGTAATATTCCATTATTCATTGACTACCAAATATTGTGAAAAATTAACATTGACAGAAAATCTCCAGGTGTGTCTTCAAAAAAAAAAAAAAAAAAACTCATTTATTCGGGTTCTAAATGAGTAGTAAATTATAATGACATTTTATATGGCCCAAAGACATATAAAGACCAATGCACACCTCCATTTCCTTTAGCAAAATCTCTCCATATCTTCTTAAGAAATTAAGGTTCCCCACTAACACTTCTAAGAGCTCCCCACCTAATTGTTGGTGGGAATCTTGTCACTCACCTTATTTCATTCCACAATGCAAACTTAGCTTCAAATGAAAACTGTGGGTGGAAGTAATTGTGGAGCTAAGTGGGAGGAGGATTCTTTGTTTTGTGGAGAGATGTTTTAGTGCTGAATTTTTTTTTTTAGCAAGCCTATTCTTTTACAGTCCAGATCCATTTTCCTCCATAGAAGGAAGATAACTTTGAATGTTGCTCTTCTGTTTCAAGCCAGAGGATACAAATGTTCCTTTGGCCATCAGAACAAGGATACAGTGATACTGTAGCTAATATGTAGTCAATGTACACACAGTTCATTGTTTAAGAAAATGTTCCAAGTTTCTTGAAACTTGACCTGGGATGAGTCTAAAGGCCCTCCTGCTTTTATAACTCTGCAAAGCTTTTAGATGGAAACATAATCAGTAAGCCTCAAATTTATTGACTCAATAAACGAAATGCGGAGCCTCTCGAAGCCTCTCTATAGCGTAGGGCTTATCCTCATAGATAAAAGTATGTTATTGAGGTGTACTCTGAGGAGTAATTTAATAGCAGAAATTACCTTATAGAAAACTCTCCAGGCTTTCCAGCAATGAGGGAAAGAGTAAGGTCTGCCTGAACAACAACAAAAATTCATTCTCTATAACAATATTATAGAGGTGTGTCATGTGACATAGCTCATCTCTACATATAAAGGACAGCATACACAATAGACTGTAAATGTGTGGATGTGCACGTAAGCCATTCTTGCTCTCAAACAGACATAAATATACATGACACACACAGATAGAAGGCATTGTGTCGTTCTTCTGTAAATGGTGCTGAATTTGAACTGATCCCTGCACACTGTTTCAATTGGTAACCAAGGGAAACAAAGATGGCTCTTTATCATCAAAAATTCAGACTGTGGAGGTAGAAACAGAGGGAGCTTAAGCACCCTGTGAAGGCAGAAAGGAGCTCACACATGCTCAATGTTATGTGTATGTTTTTATTTAATTTTTTGTAACTGACCAAGTCATTGCAAAAGCCATCAGAAATACCCAGTCTTTCTGGCTTAATTTACAGCCTCAGCCCAAAGAGATTCTTTGGGTTTTGCCCTTTGTTCTTAAATTACTGTGGCTGTTCTAGAATGATCTTATGAAAAGCCCTGCCTCATCCAATAATATTAATTAGGAACCTGTGGGGCTTTTGAGACTAGCTCCTCTAAACAAGTGGGAGGCAGGGAGGGGTGTTGCCGCTCTTTCAAAATAACTTCGCTTAGTTCTGCCATAAGGTTTACTCTAGAGACTAGATTTTAGTTAGGGAAGGAAATGAGACATCAATAGAATGGAAATTAGAGTCTGTAACTCCACGTTTTCACATTCAGCATTGCACAATAAGGTTGTGTGTGAACCTAGGTGTGAGAATGTGCCATTTTACCATTTTTCAACCATATTACTTTGTTTATATCTGTTGCTTATTTTCTTTGAGTCTCAGTCTCCTTATTTGTAAAATGAGATCGATAATAATACCTACTTCACAAAGGTTTTTGAGGATTAAATCAGATGAAACATGTAAAAACACTCTCCAAATTGAAAAGTCTTACACAAACATTTCTTCTTTTTAGCATTAGTAATTTTTCTATTAAAATTACCTCAGAAATGTCAAGCCTAATTTTAAAACAAGTTAACAAAATTCAATTTAAATTATATACATATATATATATATATATATATATATATATATATTCATACAGTGCTTAGGGCTGTACCACTAAGCTATATCCCCAGCCCCCAAAATTTTTATTCTTAACAAAAGACTACTAGAAATTATGTATCACATTCATTTTATCTTTCTCTAATGTCTAAGCAAGGGGCCGGCCAGTTAGCTCAGTGGACTAAAGCGCCTGCTTACACAGAGCACAGTGGCCAGGGTTTGATCCCCAGGCCGGAGATTGAGACTGGGCATGGTGCCTGTAATCCCAGCACTTGGGGTGCTGAAAACAGGAGGATCACTACAAATCCGATTTACTTAGGCCCTGCACTAAATACATAAAAATAAAAAAAATTCTAAGCAGGAAAAAATATGAGAAATCCAAAGTCAAACATGGCTAAGCCCAGATGCGCTAGACCTCTGTCCACAGTAGCACGGCAGACATTGTTCTTGGGGACATAGCAAGACTTTCTCGGCTTCCAACCCAGAGAGGCTGATGGCCCAGGCTGCAGACAGAAAGAAGGGGAAAGCTGAAGTGTTTCTCCAGCTCTTTCCCTGATGTTTCTGACAGGTAACAGCAGCATTCCCCTGTTGGACTGGTCTGTCTCCGTTCCAGCTCCTTCACAGTAGCCTTTGTCCCTCTAGCCTGAGGGTGGAGATAGCTTCCTGTTACTAACTCCTGAGTTGCAAGTTTGGCTTCCCAAGTCATCTATCATCAGTGTGACCAATTCCCTGTGCCATTTTACCTCTGTTTTAGAGACTCAGTAATTTCTGTTTTCTTAGTGAAACACTTCAATCTACTCATGCCTTAATGATCTTCTAGGGACAGACAACAGAAATTTTCAGTGGCTAGTTTAAGCAAAGTGAAGTAAGTATGCAGTGAAATTTATTCAAAGGATTAAACCAACAAGGCTCAAGAAGAACGGATCCTGCTTGGTTTGGGGCCTACAAAATGATGGTTTACAGGCCTTCTGTGGTTGTTCTTGTTCTTTTTGCTTCTCCATTCCAAATTTAAATTCTTAAGAGACACTGTCTCAGGGCAACTATCCCTGACTTAATTATCTTAGTGCTTGAAGGCGAATTTCCAGAACACCAGACTTGACATCCCTTGAGAATTTGTTAAGAAATGCAAATATTGGGCCACATTGACAGAACAACTGGAAAATAAATATTAGGAATGAGTCCCACAACTTGAATTTTAAGAAGTCCTCTAGCTATTGAAATTGTGAAACTTTTGGAGCCTTGACAACATCAAGAAAATTGGGCTGGTGTCCTGTCACTCAGATGGGGTCACTCTACCCAGCCCTGTATCTGAGTCTTGTCAGAGAGAAGAAGCACTGTCAACCCGTCAGTGACATCACGTGGCTTAGGGCACAGCTGGTGTTTACCACTATCTGGGCCTTTATGGTAAAATTTGGTGGTTTTTGTTTTGTTTCGTTTTTTGTAAAACTCAGCACCAACTGTTCCATTGAGTCACTGCAAAGGCATTTAGGAGAAGTTCATTTCATTGGATTTATTTTTTTTTAATTTATTTTATTTATTTATTGAGTGTGTGTGTGTGTGTGTGTGTGTGTGTGTGGCCAGCTCAGCCCACCAGGGGGCGGGGCTGGCTGGCGTGTGGTGCTGGGGGATTGAACCGCGGTCCCTGTGCTTTGCTAAGCTTGTTCTAAGTAGGTGCTTTAGACTGCAGAGCCATCTCACCAGCCCCTATTGGATTTAATTGTGAACTCAGAAACACTGAAAGACAAGACAAAAGAGACAGAATCAGAGAAAAATACACAATGCATGTCATGGTAGGGCCAAGCACAATAAGATAGATACACAAATGGCCCTAGTCACTCAAAACTCTCCAGACATCTTGGACTCATCCTCTGGGCCTTCAGAAACAGTACCTCTCCCTTCATGAATCTTGGCTACTCCTGTAGTAGCTTCTTCATGACTGGCCTGTCTTTCATCCATCTGGGAGATCTGCTCTGCGTAATTCTGTAACCACAGGCACCATTTGCCTCCTTAAATTAACTAAAATTAAATGAAATGTTAAAACC